AGAGAGAGAGAGAGAGAGAGAGAGAGAGAGAGAGAGAGAGAGAGAGAGAGAGAGAGAGATAGACAGACAGACAGACACATATACACATCATCAGCATCAGTATGAGTGGAGTAAGTGGCTGTGTCACCCTGTGGCTGCTCTGGATCACGGCCTTACTATCGCTGACAGTATTGGCTGAGGAATGGGAACCCACGTTTACAAGACTGCCTAACGAACAAGGTAAAATATAGAGAAGGGTCGGGGAATGAGATGTAGATGTTATATAACAAACGATGTATCATGGTTCATAGCGCGTGTGTATGTATGTGCCTCTGAGATATGTGTATCTGACATCTGTGTTTTAGATCTTTGTGTATATCTGTATATATCTGTGTATCTCTGTGTCCGTGTAGCTGTGTATGTGTGTATCTGTGTATCGCTGTGGCTGCGTACCTCTGTATCTTTGTATCTGTGTATCTGTGTATCTCTGTGTCTGTGTATCCGTATATCTGTATATGTACTATATGTATCTATATATTCGTATATATGTGTATCCATGTATATATATGTAGCTGCGTATAACACCTGGATATATAGGTATATATCTTATTAGATATTATTCCTGCATTTTTCGTGGGCTGCAGTGGCGTTTTAATTATCGAATTATTATGATAAAATAATGTAAAATCAGTAGATTAAGAGTATAGAATTGGGAAACATAAACACGAAAGCGTTCGTAGTAAATGTAATTCGCATTTATTTACTTTGCAAGTTGGTTATGGCAGCGGCCCAGATACCTCTTTGCTGTATAGTAAAGTGTTTGAACAGGAACTGCATGGAGCATTAGTAAGGGATTATATATATGTAGTACATGAACATTAAAACATGGCAGTAAATATAATTTATTTACGCTGTAATTTTAAACCGGCCCGTGCATGTATATTAGTCAATACAGAAAATTATAAGCTCCAGTAGCAAATGCAATTTATCTGCCATACATTTATGATTTTAACATCATTTTAAACATTTATGATTTATGATTTAAACGGCCTATGTGTCTTAATTGATACAGAAACACTTTAGAAAAAAATCCAATTTATTTTCCATAACTTTACCATTGGAACGGCCCCATGCATCTGAATCGATACAGAGGTGTTTTCTTTGGGACGTTATATATATACGTTCGTATAATAAATAATACCGCGAGTCTTTCTCGTACGTTGCTTTCATGCTTTATCTACATCTACATCTACATTCTACATTCTACATCTCCTTTATTGTGTTCTGCGCAGTTCATGCATGTAGGAATATGGAGTGTCGGGGAGTTTCTCTGCCAACTCCAGGTGCGGAGGGCGTGGCTGTGCCAAAAATGGGGAGGAAATGAGAGATTTTTAACTACTCTGCGGGTGGTTTCTCTCTCTCGCCTTTTCTCTCTCTTTCCCTCTCTCTCTCTCTCTCTCTCTCTCTCTGTCGTCTCTCTCCTGTTTCTCTCCCACGTCTCTTTCTCTTCTCTTGGTCGGTGCTGGCTCTCTGGGCTTTCGCTCTGCTCGTCTCTCTTCTATTTGTATCTCTCTCTTCTCTATCGTCTATTCTCGTTATTTTCTATATCTCTTCTCACAGCACCACCGCGTCCCCTCCCCGTCACGCTCTCATCCGCTTCTCTCTCTCTCTCTCTCTCTCTCTTCTCTTCTCTCGTTCTCTCTCTCTCTCTCTCTTCTCTTTCTCTCTCTCTCTCTCCTCTCTCTCTACTCTCTCTCCTCTCTCTCTCTCTCTCTCTCTTTCTCTCGCGGGGCTGTGACCTTGGAGTGTTGGGGTAAGGGTGCCCGGATATCGGGNAGAGAGAGAGAGAGAGAGAGAGAGAGAGAGAGAGAGAGAAAGTGAGAGAGATCGTGTGTAACAGCATACCACGCGTGGTACGTGTGTTTTTGCGTTCCCGCGTGCGCGCGTGTGTGTGAACTTAGTACTACAACTGCTGCTGCTACTACTACAGATCTACGCGGTCATTCTACAGAAGCAATATACGAGGAGAAGATATACGATATACAATATACGGGGACAAGCTGCTGATATGTGATACTGACGGTGTACAACTCCGGAGTTATATACTACTGCATGCCTTTATCTTCTGGATCTCATCTTTCTGCTGACAACTAGAGATTCCTCGCCCCACAACTTGGGAGCATGACAGCAACCATGAACGTACATAGGTGAACAACGTGAACGTGTATAGATGAACAGCGTGAACGTATATACATGAACAACGTGAACGTATGTATATGAACAACGGGAACGTGTATAGATGAACAACGTGTACGTGTATAGATGAACAACGTGAACGTGTATCGATGAACAACGTGAACGTATATACATGAACAACGTGAACGTATATACATGAACAACGTGAACGTATATACATGAACAACGTGAACGTATATACATGAACAACGTGAACGTATATACATGAACAACGTGAACGTAT